AGATAGTTTACAGTAGTATGCGCTAAAGCAGCACCAACACTGTCAATAATAATTAATGAAATCGTTCCTTCTTGCTTCTGTAATAAAGTTAATTACATCAATTCCCTAGAAAGTTAATTTTTCAGTGTTTAGCGACGAAAAGAAGAAATGCCTGGTTTTTTATGATAGAAAAGAACATGATTTTGCGAAAAACCGCTCAATAAGATAAAAAAGAAACAAACTAAGACTAAGCCTAAAGCCTTTTTTAAATCAGCATCGTCGTATACTCTGCAAACTAGTACTCTCGAAAGCCATTCCACTGCTTGCTGTTTCTGTAAAACACAACAGAAGTACAAAGATTGTATTGATATTTATTCTAAGTGTTGAAAAGTAATTAATTTGAGCTGAAACAAGCAGAATTCGTTTGCGGAAAAAACAGAAAACTCACAGATACGTTATTAGAAACAAGTATTTCCAATAAGCGAGTACTACGAAAACTACCGTTGGTATCCATGTAAACCACTAATCCATCCTTTTCTCTGATGAGGAGGTTTGCTACTACAGAAAGGCAAAACTATAAAATCCTTTAATGATAATGAATAAAAAACTTACTATAAATAATGATTGATTAGTTCAAAGTTTTTTCAAAAAATAGATTACTGTTTTCAAAGAACAGTTATGACTCTAAAAAAAGTATTTTTAAATGGCAGACAGTGGTTATGTAAGCACTTTTTCGTCCAGTTTTAACTGGTTGTTTAATTGATACAGCAATCAGCTCTCCCGCTGATACTTTCTTTTTTGATGAATAAATGCACATAAATAAAAGCATTTGAAAAACATCAAAAAATTTTTTATTACGGTAAAAAAACAGTTTCAGTAAATTTTCTCTTGCATTTCAGCTGCTACTGCGGATAAGTACCAGTCTTTCCGAATACGGATTAGTAATCTTGTCGGCCATAATTTAATTCCATTCTGCAAGCCTAATATATTCAAAATTTTAGGCTTCTGACAAATCAAAGTGATTACCGCATTCTGGACGACCTGCGAAGAGACTGCTCAATTTTTACAACATCCTAATGGCTTCGTTCTTTTATTTTTTGAGATAACAACTTTAATGTGCAATTACTACTTTACTGGTGATAATTTCACCACAGCAGTAAATTAAAATGATCGAACCACTGGAAGACACATAACTGGAGTTTGTTCCATTTCTTGCATCGGTCAAAGATTTCTCGCACCAGAGGTTTGTAGAACCAAATAGTCATCAACCATTAATCCTTATGCAGAATCTCAAAATCAATCTGCTGGGTATTTCCAAAACTTACTGCATTTCTCAAAAATATGGCCACTTAAATTTCATTTAAAATACTCAAATGTCACTTCCGTCCAATAGTGTGATTCTAAGTAAAAGACGGGGATTTCAAAATTGCCTCACTTATTTGAAATGAAGTGATCGACATGTAGTGTACCAGCCACGGAACACCTTATCTCTAAAGGTGGTACCATTAAATATGCTACACTCAAAGCGAACCAGCGGCGCTAATCCTGAACTGCATAACGCCAACAAAGGAAAAAATATGTTTTGACTATTTCGGTGTAATGCATAACATAACCAATCTTTGTACCACCGATCAACTGATTTCAATGCAGTAAAGATAACCTGGGTTTTGCCAGCTGCAACACTACCGACCAATTCAGTGATTTCACCCTTAGCAATCCCACCTCGAAGTACATTATTCACAGTACCACAACCATATACTTTTAAAAACAGCCAAGGTGCCTCAAGCCTCATAAACAGTTCTAAAGCTGTCTCCTTTCCCACGAGTTCTTCAGACATATCAGTTCACCACCAAACCCAGTCCTTCATACAAAACCAACACTCTTCGCCAGATTAAGCGACCCTCCGAAAGCGCATCACACTCTCGCAGTTCCTC